GTGAAGATCTAGACTTAAAATACCTCTAACCATCTCCTGTGGTGAGAAGGGCTGCAAAAACAACCACAATTCCCCCATCAAAGGGACCCAAGAGGTGGAAAGCAATTGCAGGACCCTAAAAGAACATTCATCTTTCCACGCAATAATTTACAGGAAGCTGTTTTTGCAGATAAAAAAGAAAATAAATATCCAAATCAGAAAATAAACATCCCCAAAATACAATTCCCGAGGATTCCATGACTCAAAATCTGAGTCAAAAAGATGGATAATTTTCTGCAATTTGTATTAAAGGCTTGGGCTTCACAAGTAAACAAACATTAAGTTCCGACAGGGCATAAAAAATCTGCAAAAGCTAACCATAATAAAAGAGATCTAGAAAGAGGCAACCCCTCTGTTTTTACTAAGTCCAAAGTGAGAACTAAATAGCAATGATCAGGATCTCATGATGTATTGAGTATCATTGTCAGCTACAGACAAAAGACATGTGTGCTCCATGGTACTGGAAACATTCACATCTCTCTGGAATGAAGGTTCAGCGGTGCTGCACACACCCATCAGTTTGGCGTCTTCATCTCTCAAAGTGCTGATTTCCTTCAAGTGCTCCTTGTAAGAGGTGCAATAATTGGAGGTACAGGATGAATTCCCATTAGAGTTTCGAGCTAGCAAGGGAATTAAAAGTTTCAGAATCCCGTTTTTCTTCATCTTTTCTGATCTTGTATTTTTACCTGTTTTGCATACTCAAGGCTAGATGTACTCACGGATCATCCCTTGGGTTTTCAGGTCTTCTACAGGCCCTGAATGTAAACCTGGGGTGTGTACCATACTAGTTGAAGAAGCCGGGAAATATTCCTTCAACCTTGTTGAGGTTCTTTCTTTACTGATAACATGAGGAAAATACAGCCCTAATTTCAGGATTGTTGTGTCCGAGACAGCATATGCTGAGCATTTAGCAGTGTAACATATTACAGGTGTTTAGTTAATTACTGTGCTCAACATTATCATCGTCTTGTTATTTTATAAGCATTTTATTATCGAGTCCATATACATCTAAGATAAGAGAGGGAGATTGTTGTGGAATACAAACCAACATTTTTAAAGGGCTGCAATAACGGTGAGCTCTTGGCTCTTTTAAGCACTATTTAAGCAGGTAAGAAGCCCCACAGTAAATAAAGGAAACCAGAGGAAAAAGATAAGAAATGAAAAAGTCTTTCCAATGAGTTTGGCTGTTTTGTAGCACTGTAGCACTGTCCTCCCGTTGTTCATGGATTTGCTCGACCAGGCCCAGTAACATCTCCATTGTGAGACTCGTTACTGTGTTTGGTATATTCAAGACGTCAGGGGTAGCTTGCCAGGCTTTGCCGTGCAGGAAAGATACACTCATTAGCTTGCCGGCTCTCCAAGAGGGGCAGAGAAATCGAACCGGGCTCGGTAGGGCTGGCCCTGCGCAAGGCAAACGCCCTATAGCTGTGCGATTGCTCTTACTAGCTTTTAGTAAAAACCATTTCAGTTTGTTATTTAATATCTAGATAGTATACTTATAGGTGATCAAGTGAACAATGGTTTAAATTAATGGAATTATGTTTAGCTAGTTGCTGGCATGCATGTTTTCCTCAATCAGACTGAAACTGCCTGCATTAATTTTTTTTCATCATTCACCCATCAACTACTACTATTACACCTTGGTACCAGGGAAAAATCAGTACTGATACAACTCAGTACCTGGTACTGAGTAAGGTCTTTCCATGTGCTCATGTAACCTCTGTTTAGATTTTAGGTACTACGGGTCTGAGTACCAGAATATTTCTTCGTTGAGATAAATATCATGAAATTATTTGGAGAAGAAATATTTTGAAAAGAGAATCAATGTAGACCATTTACAAAGCTGCTCAAATAACTAAAACGGGGGCGGTAACCCCAAATCACTGTTACAAAGTGTCATTAAACTGTATTATAAGTGAGACAAACCAACAACTAAAATGCATGCTAAGTAGAAAAACACACACATACAAACACACACACACAAATCCATAAAAAAATCATAACTTTAGCTAGCATTGTTTTGAGAAGGCTAATTTTCCAACTTTGATAATGTTATGCCCAAATCAATAATGGATTATGTGTCGTGAATATCTTTCCAGAAATAAGCTACAGGAATGATTTTATTAATGTCTTTGGAGGCAAAAGGGAAACCTTTTCGTGAAATGTTTCAAATAACCAATTAGATTTTACCTTCCTTATACGTAGAGTGAAAACTAAATTAATGGTTATTCCAGAAAAGCTTTCGTAAAGCACTGCATCAAAAGAGAATGAGTGTCACTCAATGCCTCTTTTGCAAACCACAGCACCCAAAAGGAGAGAGAGAACAAAAGGGAATGCCCTGCCACAGAGGCAGGGTGGGATGGGGGTATGGGGGGGAGGGAGGGATACTGGGATCAGTGGTGGTGGAGAATGGGCACTGGTGGAGGGATGGATACTCGATCATTGTATAACTGAAACTCAAGCACAAAAATTTGTAAGTCTACAACTGTACCTCATGGTGTTTCACTAATAAAAATTTTTAAAAAAATTAGCACAAAAAAGAGAATGAGTGAAATTAAATCTCAGCAAATGCACATTTTTAAATTGTAGCAGCATAATAATGATTTTAGGTCTCAGGAGATAGAACAACAACATATGAATATTGCTTAGGGATTCATTTCACTATTTTATAATTTTCTAATATTTGTGGCAGCTAGAGCTAAATCAAAATTTTTATTTTATCCAAATCCATTACCTGTAACTTATGCTCATTCACAGTATTTTCTGTTACATAGGTACTTGTTTCTGTATTTCCATAAATTTTGCTCAAGTTGGAAAAGCACACAATTTTTCAGAGAAAGGGAAAAACTTCCAATTGTTTTTCTAAGCAAGTTTGAAATGGTTGTTATAAGTGGAACTCCTTCTAGAGATTCCCCATATGCTATTTTATGATAAGTTAAAGGCTAAATGTGATGGTTACTGGGCAGAGCACAATATTGAATATTTAGAAGTGAAGTGTCTAGAACAGCTCCATTCCTTTCAATATCTGAAACATCTGAGTATTCTAGAATTTATTCAAAATGTTATTTCAGTTTTAAAGAATGACGTGTCATTTGAGAACAATTTATCACTAATTACTAATGACCTGGGCTGGAGCGATAGCGCAGCAGTAGGGCGTTTGCCTTGCACGCAGCTGACCTGTCTGAGCCGGGTTCGATTCCTCCACCCCTCTTGGAGAGCCCAGCAAGCTACTGAGAGTATCTCGCCTGTATGGCAAAGCCTGGCAAGCTACCCGTGACGTATTCGTATACCAAACACAGTAACAACAAGTCTCACAATGGAGATGTTACTGGGCCTGCTCGAGCAAATCGATAAACAATGGGAGGACAGTGCTACAGTGCTATTAATGACCTAGTCTAATGTTAGCAAATGTTAGCTGCAAAGATATACTTATGCTACAATGAAAACATCTTAATTATTATATTAAAAATATAAAAAGAGCCTTTGCTAATCTATGAGCCCAAACACAAGGAATGAACGAACACTGGTGTGGCATATTTGGGTGAATCTTCATGTCAGAATACATGATTCATAATATTGACATGAGATTATTTACATGAAGTCCTCAGAGGGAGTATAACTTATAGGTTTGAGGACCTGGATTTGATCCCTGACACAATAAAAATGCTATGTCGCTGTCTAAGACCTCAAAATACTTTGTAATAAAAATACTTTATAATAGTGTTTTCTATCCTATTATCAAATATTCATGATGCTACTTGTTCAGTCAGTGTTATAGATATGTTAAAGCAATATTCAATCCATATAAGCACCCAGGAGGTAGTCAGTTGCACATGAACCACTAGTTTAAAATTCAGCAATCTCCCAGTCTCAGGAAGGCCAAAAGCTACTATATCGTCTCAAGCAAGTCATATAAGACATTTGAATTAGAAGCACGTCTAGATTTCTTCAGCCTTTTGAACCTCTGTTCCATAACACAACCAGTTTCCCAGTGGATAAGATCAATTCAAACAGCAGGGGGCAGCAGAACACTTCCGATTTTTCTTGTGGGCTCCAACTACCCTTCAAATGCTGAGAAATTTCATCTATCCCTGTCTTTAAACAGCTTTAAAAAAAATCTATCTAGACTATTAGATGGTTCTGTCAGTGTCTTCATTATTGACAGTCACAGGGGCTTATTTTGCAGTCTTCAAATCAGATATGACTGACAGGGTAAATGGAAGGCACCATAAGAATATTTCAGTTTTGAGTCGAAAAGAACAATGTATTTAAGAATATTCTTATAAATGAAAATTACAACTCACAGCAAATATTGTACTGGGCTTTGAGTCTTGGAAGGCCCTTTTCAAAACAGCTCCCGATGTTTGGTAATATCTCCGTTTACAATCTTGGTTGATATTTAATTCAAGCCGTGCTTCAACAAATGGTGGTTGTTAAATTAATGAGTATGCAATTGACCCCATCTGATGGAACTGACTGCTGGCTTAAGTTATACATTATTATTTTTCAATATAACCGTGTTTGTTTGTTTGTTTGTTTACAAAGAGATTTATGCCTTTAAGGGAACATCCACTGGAAATTCCCTCTCCCCCCCCCCCCATTTCAAGTCAGAAAAAAAAATGTAGCCTTAAGGTCACCAAGGGGGCAATAAAGGAAGTGGGGCAGTAACGAATGTGAACACGACTGTTGGAAAATACATTTGCTGAAATCCCAGAGGCGACAGCCCTGTTCAGAACTATTTTTTATTTGTGTTTTGGTTTGAAGTGTATAAATTCCCGCCATGCTCTGTGAAATGCTTACCACACTGAAAACTGATCAACCTGTAGCCAAGTCACCTTAAAATATAACAAGTGCTTCTCAATTTGTATGGACTACAGCGATTGCACACTGCTTCCACATGATAAAGGAGGATGTGATTCCTGAAACTTCAATGCGGCTTTCAAAGCCATGAGAGTATTTACCTGCGGCAAAAAGCATGACAGCAACAGGTCTGTAGAAGCGCCTTCGAGATCCCACGCAGATAGAAATCAAACCCACCAGGAAAGCAATGAGAATGATGGCAGCGCCGCCCAAGAGTAAAGCCAGAGTAGCAATCTGCCAATCTGTAAAGAAAAATGAAAGGCGTTGCTTTTAAACGAGACATCCTCAAGGAACCCCCAGAACTACCCTGAGCAGCCTTCCTTCACCTTGGAGCCACTAAACAGATATGATTTTATTGCATGCTGAGCATCCTTTGAGATTTGAAAGGTTTTACAACAAACATTACTATAAATGTCATTCAGAAAAGTCTCCCATGCTAAGGTTAGCAGTGGTTTTTGAACAGTTTGCCATGCTTTCCACACAATGACTCTCTTAAGCATACATTTTAAATTTGGGGCCCTTTCCATGACCCACTATTTTTATTATTAAATATTCTATTGAGTTATAAAGCATGAATTTTGGGGGATGCAGAAGCTTTCCTCCAAGCAGTGTTTAGGGGAGTCAGAGGCAATGCCCAGTGATTCTCAGCCCTGCTATATGGGTCTGAAAGGCTGGTGAACAGATGCTGTCCAGGTCCAGGAACTTGGGGGGGGCACCAGGACTGTACCCAGTGATGTTAAGGGCACCGTGCATTGCTGGGAACTGAACTTGGGACCACTTAGGTCCACTGAGCTGTATCTCTAGTCCAGTGATGAATTTTTTATATACAGCTAGCTAAGAACTCAGATATCCCTATCCAGAGTGAGAGCAACGAAGGTTCTAACACCCAGAAGGTTCCCTAGTGCCCTTTACCAGTCAATAAACACCCATGGACGTTGAGAGATTACTGTTAAGGGGTTTTGTCCCATCTTTCTGCCAAAGTTTGATGTATTTGAGGGGCTTGTCTTATATTAAAGCAGCCCGTTTAGTTGTTCTTGTGACCATGGTTTTGAGTCTATGAAGTTCCTGAGTTGTTGTCTGTGAAGCTGTGTTGTTCTTTCTGATATGAATGAGTCTGAACTCATTTGTGGAATATAAAATATTATATGAGACTAGTACTCAAGGACAGTGGAAACAAGGACCAGGAAGATTACTCCTAGTTGGAAGCCTGCCTTAAGAGCTACAGGAGAAGGCAGCTGGGATAGAGAAAGGATAACTAAGTTAATGATGGTTGGAGGGATCACTCGGGATGGGATATGTGTGCTTCAAGTAGATAAAGGACCAAACATAAGGCCTCTCATTATCTATATTTCAAAACATAATGCCCATAAGGAGAGAGAGAGGCAGACAGAAAGAGAGAGAGAGAGAGAGAGAGAGAGAGAGAGAGAGAGAGAGAGAAACTGCCTTAGAGGCAGAGGGAAGGGTGGGACAAGATGGGGGGTGGGATACTGGTGACATTGGTGGTGGAAAATGTACACTAGCAGAGGGATGGGGTGTTCAATCATTGTATGACTGAAACTCAAACATGAAAGCTTTGTAACTGTAGCTCATGGTGATTCAATAAAATAATAATAATAATCACCCATCCACCCAGGCTACTGAAAGACACTGACCATCAATCAATAAAACGTTATCTCTGGTCTTATATTTTATAAACAAGTTGCAGGAACCCTTTTGTGTCTGGTTTGTAAGTTAGGGATAGACACTTTTTAGTCTGGTTTGAATGTCTCTGATACTCATCCATGTTGTTGTGTGTAGAAGCAATGCATTCCTTTGAGGGCTGTCTTAATCCTTCGAATTTTTATTTGTTTTTTTCCTTTCTCATCACTATAACCCTTTTCTTAAGTTCTTCCATGCCTTAGGGAAATGGGAAGCTCACTGGAATGTGTTTATCATTGCTTATGAAAGATAGTGGGCTACGAGAAGAATCTAAAGAGCAAAATACTCTTCCCAAGGAAGTAAAGGGAATGGATGAGAGCACCATTCACTGAAAATGCTGTGGAAAATATTCTTCGGTGGTTTGTTGTTTGAAAGTCCCACACTGTCTCTCCTGGACCTCACTTTAATGCATGTGCAAGAAATGAAAAGAAGTTTTAATCTACGGTTAAATTGCAATGGATTTTGCTCAAAGTCAAGAACTCATCACATTTTGATGTAGCACTCTGAAATTATCCCTCCGGAAAGCTTCCAAAGTATACTCTTTGCCACCGTAGGATAAGGGATGAGTGGAGATTCTACGATACCCTAAGATTTTCTCCTTTGATTTATACTTGTATATCCCTGACTCAAGTGTTCTCTTCCGCACCCTGTACTTTTAATAAATTCTGGCTTCATAATGAGAACTGAACAAGGATTTACATCATAATCAAACAAACAAGGGAAAATAGAACATTTTTAAAATGTAAAGATGAATCACAAGACATTGGAGGACATTTTTAGTGCCATTTTCTTTTTAACAAAGCCTTAAACATATTAAACTAAGGTACATCTAGTTTTCAATAAGAGTTTTTACAAATAGCCATACTATAGCTTTTCATTTCATAACAGCATGGAGTTCTGAATTTTTTAAAAAACCGAAAGAATAATCTTTATATTTGAAAGTCTCTACATTTCTTTGAAAAAAGTTTATACATAGCACATTTTAAATGCACTTGAATATAAGAGAAATCTACTGGAAACTGTAAATTCCTGAATGACTATGTTTATTGTTTGGGATACAAATAAAATAATAAAATTCAATTATCCATCCAATTCCAGGAGAATTTACAAGAGCTTATGCTGTATACTTTCTAGTTGGACTATGAAATTACTATTATTTTAGCAATTTCCTCCAAATGATTTTTAATAAAAAACATCAAAATATTGCCATTATTTAAATCAACACACTAGCCACTCATTAACGACAACAAAAAAAACTTAAAAGTACAACAGATTGCCATTTTTTGAATATGCTCTTTCAGATAATCAAATAGATACAAGTGGCACACATTCAACATTTTAAACCCCAAATAATAGTATGTGTTTGCTTACATTTTGTAAGGCTAGACTAACATGGAAATAAATGGCAAACGTTCCCTATGAAGGACCTCATAGCAAATAGTTTTCATTTCCGTGGGTGGATCACAGTCTCTGCCACAGTATTCAACTCTTATTTTGTTTGTTGGTTGGTTTGGTTTGGGGGCTATATCCAACGATGCTCAAGCTTTATTCCTGGCTCTGGGCTCATATTACTTTTGGTAGACTTGGCACCTTATGTGGGGCCCAGGTATTAAGCTTCAATCGGCCACATGCAATGCAAGTGCCCTACGTGCTGTATTATATGACTCAGGTCCCTCAACTTTATGTATATGAAAATATCAATATTCAATATTGTCTTATTCAGTACATCAGTATTCATCAACAATGTCAATGAATGAGCATGGCTGTGTCCCCTTAATTGTTTATCTATACAAACAGGTGGTTGGCTGTTTTTGATTCCTTAACACCATGTCAGGTTTGCTTACTCCAGTCTATATTTTGCACACCAATTTCAAATGAATTATTTTTTCCGGGTAAAAATCTTAAACAATAATTGTTTTATAATGATGTTGTTTGGTAAGTGATTACTATAGAAGGATAAACTGGTGCCTATCCAGTTATCACAAAAGAAAACTGCACACAATCTTAAACTCATAAAATGTTAAATTTCCTTGCAAGAAAATGCAAGAGAAGCCACCAGGAGAATAATATACTAAAAGGGACTAGAAATTAAGTAGGAAGGGAAACTTTTATAGCACAGGAAATAGTTCTGTAAAGTGGATGAACACAACCAATTCTGATTTCCTTCTAAACGTCCTGTATTTATTTTTAGTACTGAGGCTGTGGCTAATGAAAGTCTCATTCTGAATCTAACCTCAAAAGAGGCAAGGTGCCAGACACTACCACAGCTGTGCCATTGCTACCCTTCCCTTTGGTCCATAACCAAAACTCTGCTCAAACAGCAAATGCCGAATGATCGCTCTGTTGCTCCAAGAGACAAACCATTTTGTTTCCCAGCAGAGACAAGAAGTGGGCCACGTTGGTCATTGTCCTCACAGGAAGCTGGGGCTTCACTCAAGTACTGAAGCTCTATCTTTGGTGGATGGTGCCAACTTTTGGAAGCACCATTATATCCATTTGGAATGATTCACTCAGGCAGGCTGCCCAGGATCAAAGTTTGAACTCACTGACCAGTCAGACTTCAATCAGGAAGCTGAAAGAGTGGCTCCACAAGGCTAGCACAGCCAAGGAGTCCTGGGACACTTTTCAAGTTTCAGCATCAGATGTCTTGGAGTTGATGACAGTGCTTCAGGCACTGTGTCTTTCAGAGACAGAGAGATGCCTTGGTTCAAACTTTAGGGTCTGCCTAAGAGGTGAGCCCTAGTCTGAGACAATGTAGATCTCTTGGGCTGGTAACTATTCTCTGCTTTCTTACTGAATAACATTAGCATATAGGAAATCATAAAAAGTGAAAAAAAAGGACTGTTATAGGTATTCTATATCTACAAATGATCATTAATGACGGGCGAGGCTCCATGTATATTCAAATTTTTCTTCTCTATAAAATGTAAATTTTACAAGAATACATATTCACATACCGTGCTTGACAGTAAAGGACTATGACAATTTTATATTCATATGACCAGAACACTTGTCTCTACACTAATCATTTTTCTCTTAGAAGCTTGTAAGGTTAATACTTTTAATCCCGTAGTTAGTGTCTAAAAAATTAAACTGCCAAAGGAATTCTGAATTTTCTGTTGCAATTCTTTTTTTTTTAAAAAGCAACTATACCAAGTTTGCATAATCAGTTCATTTCAGTGTCAATCTTAGTTCTTCAATTAGAGCCCTCTGCAGTACTTAGTCAGATGAGGTGTTAAGAAGCTTGGGAGATTTATTACTTGGTATTAGTTTTACACATTTCTATAAATGATAACACTGACACTGTGGTGGAGTTGTGAACATAAAGCAACTCTGCAAAACATCACTGGCCATAGGGCTATTCAACTAACAGCAATGCCCTACACAATTAAAACTGATTATTGTTCAATGCCAAGCCTGCTGATTTGAAAGCTGTTAAGCTTCTAAGACCTATGAAACAATCTGAAAAAATAATGTACTTTTGTGGTCCCCAAACTGCTAAAGATTCAAATTGGCTGAGAGGAACATTTTGAATCTGGAAATC